GGTCCCTGGGCAGCTGATGCTGAGCTGGGAGGAGGGTGGTCTAGCCCAATCACAGATGCTTCTCTGTCCAGCAGCAGCTGGGGCAATCAGGGAGTCTGGATGCGTCAGTCAGGATGGATTTGAGGGGCTGAGATGCAGGGGCCACGGGCAGGATCTGAGAGCCTCCATTAGAAGGCCCTGGACAGAAGAAACAAAAGCAATCCCGTAGTTCCTCAGTTACAGGACCTCAGCTCAGCCAGCATCTTGAGAGCTCGAGAGAGCTTGCAGGGGGGTGCTTTTTTAGCCTCCGGAGAAGCCTGGCTTTGTTTTGGGGAGCCCTTGAGCAGAGAACCTTGTAGAGCCCACCTGGGCATCTGACCTACATGCTAGGAAATAATAACAATAAATGTTATTTAAAGCTGATTCCTATGTGATAATCTGCTGTGTACAGCAGGAAACTCATACGGCGCCATCTCTGGAGAGACGATTTATTTGTATTAGTTTAATCTCACAACAGTCTTTTTTTACTTTAAAAAGTGTGAAATCCATTCTTTGTTTTCAGGATATTGTTAATCCCAGTGATGAGGAAAAAGACCACTACCACGGCTTAAAGCCAAATCTGGAGCAAGCTTTAACTAAATACTGGCCAAGGCACTGGCCAGGGCTATACTCAGGTACCCGGAAAATGGCCCAGAATCATAGTTTGCAGTGGCTTAAGAAGGAAAACCCATAATTCATTGCATTTCCCATCAAACCCAACCAGAGGCAAGCCTACATCCTGATGTACCTCTACCCTGTCAACCTCCCACCCACATGTGATCAAGCACAATGGTACGGATGGGTCAAACAAACTTGTTTAGGGGCATGAAAACATGTGGCTTGCTATTTCTCATAAACAATGGTCTCCAGCATTTTAGTAACCATCTGTCCTCGAGCAAGGGGTTTGCAGATCAGAGGCAGTTTTGTTCAGGAATCTCTGAGGCGTAGTAATTAAAACTTAAAATGTAACTTTGGCTCTCACAATGTATACCAACAGCAGCGACACCGGGGACTGGCGTGTAGCTTGCTGGTAGAATGCCTGCCTAGCATGCAGGACGCCCAGGGCTTGATCCCTAGCACCTCACTAAAAGCAAAGGAAGGAAGGAAGGAAAAGAGAGGGAGGAGGCAGGTTGGTCTTTGGTCAGATCTGGTCTGGAGCCACAGCTCCTCCACCCTTCTCCGTGCCTCGCTGCTAGCCCTAGATATGGGTGACTGTATGGAGTGACTCAGAGGCTGGAAAAAAGGGTTCTGGACTCCAAAACTCTGAATGTGGGTCCCTGCTGTGCTGAAGGGCCTCTGTGACTTTGGGTGGCTCGCTGTCCTTTACTGAGCCTCTGAGTTGAAGCAAGACAATGGCTTTCGACACATTCCCCTCTGCTCCCTCCACCCCAGGCTTTTTCTCTGAAGAAAAGCTAGTGTAAAAATCCCAATATCAAAAACTAATGCACAGCCTGGCTTGTGCCAGCCATGCCTAGGCCCTGAGACAGGATAGAAAGATAGGAACACATTCTGGTGACATGGGAGGGGAAGGCTGGGACAGAAGAAAACCCTTCACCTTGGGATCTGATGGAGTCAGGAAGCTTCAGGCGCCACTGAGACAACTCACATTGCCTATGGAAGCAATGCAGTACTTGCCTGAAGATAACTCCATCGAAGTTGTCAAAGTCAGTAAACAAAGCGAGTTGACTTGTAACCAGGTCACCTACGGCCTTGAGAGGTTTTCATTATGACAATCTTGTTTCCAAATCTGGACGCTGACCACTCATAAAATTTATTTCACAGCTTTGTTTGTAAGAGAAAATTCCTTAACCTTTAAACTGAGTTATGAACTACACCCCTGAGCAAGGCAGCTTAGGAAGCCATGGGGTCATTTTTTAAACAGCTAGCATGCAGTCGGGTACGTCTCTACCCCGAGAGGCCTGTGTCCACGCTGGGGCACGTCTCATTCTTTCACTGGGCATCTCTCTTTCTACTAACTCGTGTGCTCAAAATCTCCATTAAAGACATCTAAAACAATAAAATAAAATTTCAACTATGTTTCATATTAGCTGGTCCGGAAATTCTGTTCTGTGTTGAAGCTAAGAGTCCTGGTTTTTCTTAAATGGAAATCCCTAAGGAGAAGAAGAATGTTCTAGGCTGTTACTTAGGGCTGTATCTCCGCCCCCTCCCCCACGTTGCTGACAGACCTACTCCGTCCTCGGGAGAGATCAGAATCTCTCTGCAGAATGTGGAGGCTTTGGCTCTCCAGACCCTCACTGAGATCTGGACTCTCCTCCATCAGACAGTGGGCACTTCGGTACAGAGACACTGTACCCATTAGGTTGCTACTCGGTGCAACCCCATTTTCAACACAGGCAGAATAACCAAAGATGTTTCTGTACACTGCTACATGTCCCTTTGGAGGATAAGAGCAGGCGAGGCTCCTCAGTCTGGAACTGGTTCAAGTATTTTCTTAGTTGAAGCCAGATCTCAGAATACCTTTCTTTGAAGACACTTGACCTTGGCTGGCTTTCCCTGCCCTGCTGGACGACCTTGAGATGTACAGAGCTGTTGGGAGGGAACAGAGGGGACTCACCGTCATTTAGCTCATGCTGTTCATAGTAGGTCTCATAGGCCTGTTGTCATCACTCTGAAATGGCATGGGGCGGATAAGGGACAAGGCACAAGATGTCTTTGAGATGTTGTCAGTGGGGGAGGGGGGAACATGTGAGCAAAGAACACACACACTCATACAAATGATTTAGAATAATGCTAAATGTAAAACCCAGATGCAGGTGCTGGGGAGATGGCTAAGTAGGTAAGGTGCTTGCAAGCATGAGGACCTGAATCTATGTGAAAAACTGAGCTTGGCAGTGCTTGTTTGTAATTCCAGTGCTGGCGAAGTTGGAACGGGGGCATCCCTGGGGCTCAATGGCCGGCAGATATAGCTGAATCTTTGTGGCCAAGGCTTGGCACTGTATCTTGGGCATGGTGACAGGGAACTTGGGAGTGACATAGGGTAGGGGAGTGAGGCTGGGAGGTGGCCAGGGTCTTGGTCACAAGAACATGGATGTAACTTAGCAGCTGGGGTGGCTCTTGGGGCAATGGGAAGCCATTGAAAGTGTAGGCAGGTGAGGGACTGACTGGGAGGCTGGTGTGAGAGCCAAGGCTGGTGCATTGTGACGGACAGGCAGCTTCAGAGAAGAGAGACAGAGAAAAGGGTTGCAGTTGAGGCTATGAGTGAAGAGAAGGCAACGTCGAAGAGAGGAAAAATCTGGAACATCCAAAGGATGTGGCTTTTAGCCCCTCCTCTCTCCACTCCTCACTGACCTTGGGCCAACCACTTCTCATAGAGGTTCCATGATTAGCGGAGGTAACAGGAGGAAAAGCACTTGCCTGGTAACAGAAAACGAGGAGGCACAAATGCCCTTCCCTGCTCCCTTGGGGGCAGATGCTGCCGACCAATGCTCTCCTCCGAGTCAGCCTCTTGATGCCAGGAAAGCCTGAGGCTGCTTGTTCAAAGAGGATACGCAGGTGTACCCAGGCCTGCAGCACTCAGCACCGTGCCTCGGCTTTGTAGCTGGCCTCGGCATCATAGCAGGCCTCGGCATCGTAGCTGGCCAAGACATACCAGCTGCTGGAAGCCAGTAGGAAGGGAGAGGATGGAGGAAACTGGCCCAGACCCTTGCATTCTAAATCTACTCTATCCCAATCCCCTGGGGTCTCTGGGACAGGTGTCTGGCTGAACCCCAAGCCCCATGGTACTTGGCTTCTGTCATTAGGGAGGTCTCACAGGTTCATGAGAGGCATGCACAGAGCTACTGTATATATATATATACAAGAGTGTACATATACATATATGTATATGTACACACTTGTATTTATATATTGTATATATAGACAGACAGATATATAGATAGATAAATAGGTAGGTAGATAGATAGATAGGCCAGCTCCTTGGGGAGAAGGAAGGTCTTGTTAAACCCCAGTAGCTGCCCTGAGAAGGGGGCTTTCCGAGTTACAGAGGACAAAGTCCTCCATCCTACAACTGGCTGGAGACAGGAACCATGACTTTCCAGTTCTGGTCTTGACCTCCTATCCAGAGACTCAAGTTCAAACAGGGCCCATGTTGGACCTCAACCTTACTGTGCAGTGACTCATCTGGGGATAACAGGCAGGGAGAGGACACACCCTGCGTGGATGCCTGCACAGCCCAAAGTGTCCTGGCCCTCCTGTCTCTCACCCACATCTCCTCTGAACACAGCACCAAGGTGCTGCTGGCAGACCTTAGTCACTGGCAGACTGTCTCGACGGCGTACAGCAACGTCAGAGGTCCCTCTCTCTGTTCAGCCACTCCGCTTCCTCAGCCTTGTATAGGCAGGCATGTTGCCTGCTGTAAAATTTATGCAAACCGTACACAATGAGGAAGATAACAGACCATGCATGAAGGACCTCACCAGAGGGAGGAATTGGTGCTCAGAGAACTCAGGCGCCCTGAGTGGAATCTTTTTTTTCAGACACAAGTTCCCTATGACTTTGTCCAGCTTTGCCTATACTGTTCCTTCTGTGGCCTGCTGTGGTCACCCTTTAAAGATGTGTCCTCCCGGAGATATGGAACACAAACTGAGCTAACCCTCCTTCTGAGTTCTTAAACTACCTGTTTATCAAAGGAGCAGGCACTCGCCCTCCAGTAACCTAACACAGTGGGTGATGCAGCCGGAGGGTGCTTCCGGGAAGTTAGTGCCGTAGCTCCTGGCCAGCAGTGTCCCCAGGATGGAATGCTCCAAGCTGGTCCTCGAACTTCCAGTGCTGTCCCGGATAACAGCGGGTAGGGGAGACTGCTTTCTGGCCCCCGCGATAAAGCTGATTCTGTCAGCACAGGATGCAGGAAACGCTTGGGTAAGTGTTTTTGAGCCTCAGTTTCTCTCCCCTGTGAAAGTGGTGTGAGAGGGTCCTGGCCCAGGCCTCCCACAGACAGGTCCCTCCCCTGGATGTCTCTAGGCAATGAGTTTCTGGGCCCAAGTTCCATCTGTGCAGTTTCCACCTCTCTAGGAAATTACTTCTCCCTCCTGTCCGGTAGGCTATCACTTTAAGTTTGGGCGGGGCCTGTTGGACACCGGCCCAGCACCTGGAACCTCGAGGAAGCGAGGAAGCGCTGAAGCAGGCCACAAAAGTCTCCGAGGTAGTGAGTGAGGACATACAAGGACTAGGATACAGGGAGTAGGTGGCTTCCCAGCGGGATCCCCAGCTGGGAACCCAGCCACTGGGCTGGGTGGCAGGGAGGGAAGGACCTGTGGCCTCAGCCCTACTGGGGACCAGAACAGAGACCTCAAGAAGCTGGTGAAGTGCCAAGGGCACAGCTGGGGACAGCTACTAGGGCCTCCCCAGATGCCTGCTGCCTGCAGAACTCAGCTACCACCACCACCACGCCTTCTAATGCGCTGGACTCTCCCCTGGACCGCTCCTGTGGCTCCTGGACCAGCCTGATGGCTGTACGCGAGGTGGGTGTGAACATCCTGTCTCCCTCCCTCCGGAGTACCTCAGCTTCTGCTAAGGGTGTAGCGTGGACCCTTCCCTTTAACCTATACCGTGCAGAATGGACCCGGGGTGGTACTCCTGATACTCAGCGCCTCGGTGCTTAGCTGGGAGCCAGTTTCTCCGCAGTTCGTGGGCGTAGGTGGGCTCTTCGTGTTCAGATGGTTGGATACTCCTTCAATGCTCTCACGGTGCCATTGCGGGGCAGCAGCGGCGGCACGACACTATGGGTCTCTCCCATCTCTGTCAGTCTGGGGGCTGGTGCTCAGCTCCCTTCTCCCTCCTCTGACAGAAAGAGGGCTTTTTTCTCCCTGGTTTGAACTGAACTCCCTGTAGCAGACTGGCGGGGCTAGAGAGCAGGTGGTTTTCTGGTTCAAGTCCCTCCTCGCTGTGGCAGAGTGCTCATTTCAGAGGGGCGCATTTAGACAACGAGATGCCGGATAACCTCATAGTGTCTGAGTAGGGCTACCCTCTATCAAGCTGCGTGAACTCGTGCCTCAGGTACAACTTGCTGGACTCAACTCCCTAACCCCTTAGCCCTGAGGGCCAGGATGTGAACTCAAAGGTGTGGACATCAGGAGCCTGCTTAGCCAAGGGTCCCAGAGCAAACAGACTGGCCCCAAGGAGGGAGTGATGGGCAAAGCCTCGTGGTGGGAAAGTTCTCCCCTGGCTGGAAAGAGGTGGGCACAGCCCCTGGGACGGGTGATATTGGTTTCCTTTTTGAACAAGGGTGAAGTGGGAAACCAGCCAGAGGGAGTAGCAGGTCTAGGAGAAAGTCCCAGGTGGCTTAAATTGAAGTGGGGGTAAGGACAAGGAGAGGCCGGCAAAGCGGTGGAGGTGGGACCAGCTTGTCAGGCCCGGACTGAGTACCAGGATGGGGTGGAACTTCTCTGGGGCTGGAGAGCTTCCTGTCTGACCCCCAGGGCACACCCTCCATGGCAGGGAGCACTCCCTTCCTTCCCAACAAGGTGCAGGGGCTGGAGGCACACTCATGTAAGGGGCAATGAGATTCCTGATGGCGACTTCTCAGAAGTGGAGGGGTCCAGAGGCAGGACACACTAAGAGCCGTGCCAGAGACTGGCCCGAGACTGAGCACAACACTGTCACCATCTGAAGCTGGGAGGAGAGGGGAGGGCATCTTGTCAGGGAGAGCAGACTGGCGGACACAAGACTCATGGTATGGTCTCAACTGCAGGCATCTCAATCTGTATATCCAGGAATCCAGCAGTGCACACACACACAAGGGTACCTGAGCTAGGTTAGATCTGCATCTAAATCCATCCCTCACCAGTATCCCTGAGATATCACTGTGGTGAGCATTAAGCAAGGGGACACCTATAAAGTGCTCGGTATGGTGCCCAGCTGGGCAAATGCCCCCAGCACATGCTAGCCACCAACACTGTGTTCTGTAGACCAAGGGAGGGCAGGGTAGAAAACTGCTCGGTGGGGCTCTTGCTTGTCTCTGAGGGGCAGGATTCATCCTGGCTTCACTATGCCACTCCACTCTTCACAATAAGCAGTGTTTGCTTTCCTGGAGAACAGAGAGCATCACAGGTGACTTCAAGTCTGTGTGTTCAGGTGTGAGCTCCTTAGGTATGTAGATCCCTGCTCTACTTGACTTTGGATGAGGACCTCCCCCCGTGTGGACTGTGTCCCCCCCTCAGCTGGGGATACTCATTCCCCCACCCTGCTCACCTGCCTTGTTTGTAGGAGTCAAAAATGTTGGCCGTGAGGAGACGGTCACCTTGTCAGGGCTGTAACACGCAGGCCCAGGATTTCCTCCGCTGACTTCCTTCGTGTTTTCTCCAAGCTGGTTACTGCAGCCTTGTTCCCACCAGCCTCTCCCTGTGGATATGGGAAGGGTTTGGACTGCTTCAGGAAACTCTGGTTTAGTCAGGGGAAAAGCCAAGGGAGGGGCAACGGTAAGAGGTGAGCCGTGTGCTCCCAGAAGGTGCAGGGATCTCCAGAAGTTTCCCAAGCAAGGGCCAAGCTGACTTTTGCAGGGTTGTGTGGGAAGTCACTAACCACACTGAGGGATCAGTAGGGGCAGTGGCTTAGAGGTGAGCTTTGGGGACCAGTGCCAGCCTCTTCTGGATGGTAGGATCTGGGGTCGGGCTTGCTTCTTGCAATTATCCCATGCAACACTTCTGTCGAGTCCTTCCTCTTCCAGTGATTCATGGGAGTTCAAAGGAGCAAAGCACATATGTGCCCTCCTTCTGCCAAACACTCATGCTGAGCCCCGCTTAAAAGAATCTTGAAAATGTGTGTGGGTGTTCTGCTTGTGTGTGTATATGTGTACTATAAGCATGTCGTGCTCGAGGAGGTCAGAAGAGGGAAAAGGTCCCCTGGAACTGGAATTAGAGACAGCTTGAGCTGCCGTGTGGGCGCTAGGAACTGAACTCGGGTTCTTCGGAAGAGCGGTTGGTGCTCTTAACCATAGAGCCTTCTCTCCAGCCCTGGCCCTAATTTTGTAATGATTTAGGTTATTTCACCTAGAGGTCATGACATCATCCATGCGCTGTTTGTTAGGGTTGGGATTGTGGGCTCTTCCAGTGCTGTGACTCTGGTAGTGACATCTGTGTAGATGTCCTGGAAAAATCCTGCTCTATGGCACCACACTCAACTTCACATCCAGCACCACCATTCACGTTTGTCAAATAGAGACAAGAACTGGACCCCATGAGATGGTGACAATAGGAGAGGGACAGAGCACAGCCAGCAAGCTCTGGCTTCTCCCAACCAACCATAGACCGGCCAGCACAGGAACCATCTACCCACCAGGCCCGATAGAATGTGGCGCATTTATTATTATATGATTAAGCTCCTGCCGTATCCCAGGTGTAGCGCTAGGAACTTGAAACAGCTTATTGGTGACCATCAAAGCAGCCCGGCCGTGTGTGGGTATGATCTTCATTTCACAGGTGAGGACCTGAAGTATAAGTCAGAAGACTCATCCACGGCCTTGGTGCATGTCGCTGGTCCAAATCTTCAGATTCTCTCTCCTTCTGTGTGCAGACATGCGTCAGAGGCCAAGTGGCCTCCACTGTGCGTTACTGCATGACGGTCGGTGGCACAGTGGTCCTGGTCATTGGGACCCTCTGCTTTGCATGGTGGAGCGAAGACGATACAGCCATCCAGCCTGGCTCACTGGCCCCCACAGTGAAGCGTCCACTGCCCAGGATCTCCCTGACGTGGCTCAAGTCTATCAGTTTATTCTGCTGTAGCATGGGTGGCCTGCTTCTGTTCTCTGGCCTGCTCTGGTCCATCCAGGATAGCACAAAGAGGTCGAGCCAGGGGGACCTGTACCAACTCTCCAGAGACCTGTGCCACCTTGCTGCGGAGTCTCCTGAGAAGAGCTGCAGGTTAGTGGGGGCACGGTGGGGACCATGGGTGATCACTACAGTCATACTACCCTTTGCCGGGTAGACAGTGTCTTCTGGAGTATCTTGCTATTGGCCCATGGCTCCTTGAGGCTAGATGCATCCGACAGATGTTACCAAGACCACTAGGCAGGCCTCAAGTGGGGTATGGTGGGCACACCTGTAATGTAGCACTTGGGAGGTGAGTTCCAGGCTAGCCTGGGCTGCAGAATCGGACCATCGGTGGGAAGGGCATCTTTCCCAGCCAGACTTTGCACTTTTCACATGAGAAACTTGTCCCTAAGAGAGTGACGTACCTGCTCATAAAATGAGTTGTACTCTGACAGCCAGGCCAGGCCTGTCCTCCTGCCCCGCCTAGCCTGGTCTGAGCAGAGGAGTTGCTGTTGTCTATACACACAACAGTGTTGCCTCAACAGGGCCTAGGCTGCAGCTGTGGGTTAGGTGGGCTACTCCCTCCCTCCTCAGTTAGGCAGGATACGCCACCTCCCCACCCCCTCACTCCCACCCCTCCACCCCCTGTCAGGAAGCAGGCAGGGGCCCTTCCAGCTCTGAGACCCAGATTCAGAGACTGGTGTGACTGGGTACGGAGGAAGCCTGCTGGTCATGGGAGGCGTGAGTTCACTCTCTTCCTGGGGTTGCCTGGTGTGGCTAGAAACGGGCTTGGGCATTCCGCTTTCCACTTTGGGTCTTATGTTCTCTCATTTAGTCACCCGCTCTCTCTTGCTTCTCCCCAACACCACTGGGCACCTACCGTGTGGTGGGTCCAGTTAGGAGTGTTGGTGATGCATCGGCGACCAGACAGGCAAGACCCTACCCTAGAAGCTCCCCTGGCAACTGTCCGTCCTGAACAGAGGCCCCTGCTGTCCTTCAGTGAGCACAGCAGACCGTGCTAGGCCCCCTCTGAAGGCCAACTTTCTGTCGCTACCCTTTCCGTTCAAAGCTGTGTGTCTGCGAATGTCCCCAGATTTCCCAAGTCACACCTGACACCTTGTCTGTCAGTTGTGGCCAGAGGAAGGGCAGACCCTCTTCTGTTCTACAGCTAACTGCTGTGACAGGTTACCTGAAAGACAGAACAAAAAGAACATTTTGAGGAAGGGTTTATTTAGGCTCACGGTTCTTGGGGCTATTCCGTCATGGCGGGGACGGCACAGGGACAGGAACGTGAGGCAGCTGGCCAAGTTGTGTCCACTGGAAGTGGACAGACGAACGGTCATACTCAGTTCACTTTGTCCTTTCTGTTCAGCCCAGGACCTCAGTCCAGGTGATGATACACCTGACATTTAGGGTGGACCTTCCCACTGTAACTGACTTAGTTGAGAAACTGTCCCACAGACGTGCCCCAAGGTATGTCTGTCCCCTGGGTGATTCTAGACCTTGCCAGGGTGACACCCAAGACCAGCCATCATTCCTCTCTCTCCGAGGGGGATGTGGCCTCCTGTGACAGGACCATTGTGTATGTGCCTGCCACAAAGCCTGAACCCCTTAGCTTTCCTTGCTCTCTGAGCCTTGGCTGCCTATGGGGAGGGTGCAAGGATGCTAGGGCCTGTTTTCCAAAAGGGAGACATGAGGGTATAGCTGGCTCGGGATAGCTGTGCAGGGTGGGGTGAGTGTGAGCTCTGCCATTAGAGAGGGCTGTCCCCTTAGCTGTGGACACTCATTCGTCTGTGAGATGGGTGAGGCTATTCCTGCCCTACTGGGTTTGGTCTCTCAACAGAAAGTCAACGGGACCAGCAAGGAGCCTGTCTCCTGCCCCCACAAGGCTGTCCTGGTCTCCTGGACAACCTGGCAGGACCACCCCACAACCACAGAGGTCTGGTCTGGAATGTACTAGGAGCCTCCTAGACTAGGACAGGCCCTTGCAAAGGCCCAAGTTCTGGGCTTTCCTGTGTTCTGAACTATGACCTTGGACAGTTAAGGTGGATGAGCCAACAGGCTACTGAGGTGACGAGCAGGCTTGAGGGCTGTTGTACACCTGCCCTCTAAGCAAACTTCCTGCTGTGAGCTGAGCTCCTGTGGTACCTGAGCCACTTGTCCTGCTGGCTGCCACCTGCTGGGCTGGCCCTAAGCGTACCCAGAATCAGCTCCAATAATCTGGGTGAGGGCAGGCATGACCAGGAGGTGAGGCATGCAAGGGAGAGGAGGGCTCTGGAGCCCTATTACCCACATTTCCTTCAAGGCTGTTAACCCTTTTCTTCTTGTTCTCTTCTGCATCTGTGACATGGCGCTTATTATCCCCATTCCACAGATGAGGAAGAAGAGGCCCAGAGAATGTGAGAACAGAGCCCAGGCCACACAGCAGTAGAGTTCAGTGTGCTGCCTCCAAGCACACAGCTTCTGAGAGCCTGCCCCCTTTCTTCTTTTCGGATTTGTTGAGACAGGGTCTTACTAGACAGCCCTAGCTGGCCTTGAACTTGCTATGTTGCCCAAGCTGTCTTCAAGCATAAATCCTGCTGCCTCTGCCTCTAGAATTGTGAGATTACAAGCATGTATCACCACGCTTGGCAGAAGCGTTGCCCTCCCCTTGCAAAGCCTGCTGGGAGCTCAGAGGAAGGTGAGCACTGGTTGGTTCTTGGCTGCAGGTCTCCTGGCTGGTAACCAGCCCTCTTCTATCTAAGCCCAGGTCAAATCCAGGACCTGTAGAGCTACTTTGTGAGCAGGAAGGTGAACTTGCCTCCTGGGGGCCTGCTGTGAGGGTGGCAGTCAGCTCAGAGTCCTGGGGCAGGGAAAGGCACTAACTCCGTGGAGGTGGCCCTCAGGAGCTCAAAAATAGAACATTTGTCCTTGGAATTGGGCCTGCAAATCCAGATCTGGGGTGGGGGTGGGGGTTGAGGACCTGGTCTTTGCCTCATAGACGGTTAGGTGATTTGGATGCCTAGGTGTGAGGGTGGGCTGGAGAGTCGGGGTGGACTGCCATGTGGAGTGGAAGAAGAGACTGACTTGGTAAGCAGTGAGCTCTCTCTCCCTGGAGGCGTGCAAAGAGAAACAATTACCTGGTTAACTTACTGTCTCAAGCCTCAAGCATCTAGATGGACAGGTAATGTGAGGCCTCGCATTCTACCCTGAGCATCACAGCTGTAATTTACAAACCGCATTTCAGTCAGCTGGGAGTCTTTATGTCCTAGACCAGCACTCAGTCTCTCAGCAAACATGCCAAGAACCTGCTCTCAGTGTTAGCCACTCCAGTCAATCTCTGGCCCAAGAGACAAGCACAGTGTCAGTACAGTGGCAGAAAAGAGCAGCATGGATGCTCAGGGGAGAGCAAGAAGTGGGGACAGGTTAGAAAATGTCCCCGGGAAGTGTCAAAGTGAGGAGGATGGCTCTCATGCTTCTTGCTGGAGCAACCTGAAGAGGAGGGAGGACTAAGGTCGCAGGCTGCTCCCCCAAGCATCATGAGAGCTATGTGGGCACGGTCACGCGGACTCCTCTGTCTTCCCTGGCATACAGGAGAGTTTTGAGCAGGTCCTGCTAACAGCTTCTTTCCTGTTCCCATAGGCCTCCCAAGGAGGCTGCCATTCCCACTTACGAGGAGGCCATGTACTGTCCACTGGCGGAGGGTCCCCTGCCATCCCCTGTGCAGCCCGAAGAAGAAGACCTTCAGCGCCACGCCCCAAGAGACGCCCTGCTGGGGTCAACATCCCTTTTACCCCCACCCAGCTACGAGAGCATCATCCAAGCTCAGGAGGCTGTTTCTGGGCCACATGCTGCAAGCTCCAGCCCAGGTCGAGCTCAGGCTGCAGGGGAGTTCCAGGGCTCCAGCAGCCCCTGAAACTGGCCCCTAAGCCATGAACTTTGCTCTGGGCCTACTCCAGTGCTGGGCTCCCAGCCGGCATTCGACAGAGCTATGCTCCTGGATGCTGTTTATGTATCTGTTGCCGTGTAAGAGACCATCTCCATGTCAGGTGGGCTTTAAATAAACCCGACTTTATAACATCTCACCGTTTTTTGCATGGCTGATTCCTATGGTTCTTCTCCCCACGAGGTATTGGGGAGGCCATCATCAGGGTCCCAAACAGAATAGGACCTCCATGCTGGTGTGCTGTGAACACAGGGCCAGAGGCAGAAGCAGAGGTGTCCAAGTTCATACCACCAGTTTGTGGCCAAGAGAACACAGACTGCAACCTAAGCCCTCCTGAGCCCAGGTCCCACCCTGTACCACCATGATGATGACTTCTTCTCTTGGCCTCAGTTTCATCATTTGTGAGAGGAAACTGGCATTTTTGGCAGCTCTGGCCCATGTCTCAGGGAGCCAAGTGGAAGGACCCGTGGGGTGACAGCACTGAGCAGCATACTGAAAGCAGGGGCACAGCCCTGGGCCAGAGGCCCTCAAACTGCTGCACGCCTCAGAGTTGGTGGAGGTAAGCCTCCTCTACCAGGTGCTGGCTCAGCATCCCGTGACAAGGGCCTCACTGCTGTCCCTGGCTCTCCAGATGGGACTAATAGCAACTTTCCCTCCAGCTGCTCTCTGCCCACTCTGCCTCTGCCCACTCCACTATGCCACCAACTGGCCGAGTCCTGTACCTTCCTCGCTGGTACTTCCTAGCTCACCCTTGCCCGACTCCACCCTATCAGCCTGAGCTACAGATCACAGACCGGCAAACCAAATCCTGTTAACTCAGGCTGTGTTGTTCATGCTGAAATGTAAGGGGCACACCGCAGCAGAGTAAGGGAGGCATATGTCATCTTGGGTCCCTTTTGGCCCTCCCCTTAGGGACAGCGTCATTCTCCAGTATGCAGGCCAAGGGCCTAGAAGGCAGCCGGTGTCTTGAGTCAGGTTAAACCAGCTTCTCATCAGGGATATCACGTCAGGCTCACTCTTGCTCAGGGGGACTAAGGGACCTCCCCAAGGCCCCAAGGCAGCAGAGGCTCAAAGGCTGGCTAAGGCGGCAGTCCCAAGGGGCAGCTGGTGCTAGGCTAGGACTCTGCTCCTATCTCCTCTTCACCCCAGGTATGTGTGGGGTCCCCGTGTGGGAAAGCAGCCTGTGCAAGCTGAGAGCTCCCCATCTAGGCTGGGCCACGGTGGGGTCCACGTATTGTCACTCTGCCTGCTTCCCACAGTATTCTCAGGTCACTGAGAGCCTCTCAATGCCAAGTCCAGGTCGGGCCTGGCTCCCAGCTCACTCTGAAGGGCAAAAGCCCTCACATAGCCTGGGTTGGGAGAAGGCCTACTCTGCATAATAACACCCAGCTTGCCGCTTACTCCTGCCCCTTGTTCCTTGCTCCCAGTTAGACCCCTGGACCTTGGCACTTCCTGTCCTATCCTCCAGTCAGAAGTTCTGGCCCCTCCCTTTCTACCCTCCTGTCACATTCTGTCTCCCCAGAGGTTATCCTAGGCCACCAAGGAGTCTGGAGAAGCCTTGTCTCCCACTCTGGTGGTGACCTAGGCTGGGTTTATATTAGACCCTCTGCAGTTCCTAAGGGTTTCCCAAGAGAGGTGTTTACCCCAGGGCACAGAGTTAATGAGCGGCTGGTGTGAACAGGTTCTGTCTTGGCAGCAGCTGAAGGGCAGGTGGGGAGCGCTAGCCAGCCACAAAGGACTTTTCTGTCTCTCTGGATCCACATCTGTTCATCTGGCTCAGGAAGGGACAGTGACTTGGTCAAGGTCACCAGCCTGGACCTGAGCCAAGGCTATGGCAATCTCAGCAAGGCAGGGTACTGTCCCTTTCTGTATTGTGAAGAACCTGTGGAGGAGCCAGCCACCCAAGGCAGGTCTGTCTGTCCCTTGCAGCCCTGCCATAGAACCAGGCTGTTCCCTGCATCCACACTTGGACTCTTCTTGATTGGCCACCTAGACAGTGACACCCAGATGTCAGGGACCTTTGTGACTCAGGCTTTCCATCTTTTTCCAGGATCCTTGCAAATACGTGTTGCTTAGCAACCCTTACCCATCACTGCTCCTGGCCTTTAGTCTGGTGTCCTCCTACCCACTGTGACTCCCTGTGACTCTACAGAGGCTCCTGCTGGCTTCAGGAAAATGTCAGCCCAGAGGTTTCTTGCCCATACATTCTTGCTCTCCTCAGGTCTAGTCCTTACACTTCATCTCTTCCCTCTCAAATACCACCCAGCGGGTTCCCTGGTCCAGACCTAGGGGACACAGAGGTAAACCAAATACAGCCGCTCCAGGGCAGCAGCCACTGCAGTTTGGCTTTTAGCTGGAGGGACAGGTAAGACACGGAATAGATAATTTGTATAGTATGATAGATGGTGGTGACACTGTGGAGCACAACAAATTGGGAAAATTGAGGGAACTCCTTGGGGGAGGACTTCTGCAATCTAGGGAATGGCCAGGGAAGACCCCACTAAGGTGACCATAGAGTAAAGGACTTAGCTAGGGAGACAGCCATGCAGATATCTGGAGGAAGATCATTCCAGGCAGAAAGGTCCTGGGGTGTCTGTGCATTCCAGGAAGAACATGGAGCCAGAGTGAGCTTAGGGAGAGTGAAGACTTGGAGGGGTGATGAGCAGGCAGTATGCAAAAGTGATGTACAGACTTATGGACCACTTTACCCTAAGAAGACAGGTTGCTGTTCTAGAGTTCCAAGCAGAGTAGTGACATGTGCTGATGTCCATTTGGGTTAAAAAGAGATGTTAGAGGTCAAAGGTGGAATCTGAGATCAGCAATAGGAAGAGGACGATAGAGGGAGAGTAGTGAGTGCATTCTTGTTTGCAGAAGGTAGTTTGAATAGGGATGGCCCCCGTAGATGTGTGTGTTTGAATGCTTGGCCCATAGGGAGCAGTGCTATTAGGACATGCACCCTTGTTGCAGGAAGTGTGTCAATGTGGGGGTGGGCTTTGAGGTCTCATATATATTCAAGCCATTCCCAGAGTGGCGCACAATCTCCTGCTGCCTGTGGATCAAGATGTAGAACTCTCAGCTCCCTCTCCAGCACCATGTCTGCCTGCATGCTGACTTGTTTCCTGCCTTATGATAATGGACTAAACCTCTAAACTGTAAGCCAGCCCCAATGAAATGTTTTCCTTTGTAAGAGTTGCTGTGGTCATGGTGTCTCTTCACAACAATAGACAGAAGTTGGCACCAGGGACCACAGACTGGGGTATTGCCGTGATAAGCCTGCCAAGTTTTTGTTTGAAGGAATGTGGACTTTGGGAGTTTGGATTAGAAAAGCAGTTGAACACTTTCAGTGGGTCTGAATGGGGCGTCCTAGTAGGAGCATGGAAGACGGTTGTGCTAAGGATGATTTGAACTGTAGGGATCTGGCTCAATAGGAGGAGAATTTTAGTATGTTGCCTAGAGACTGTTCTTGTAATAATGTGGCTGCTTTTTACCCTTATCTGAAGAGTCTGCCTGAAGATAAAGTGAAGAGATCTGGATTAATCCTGTGGGCAGAGGAAATCTCAAAACAGCCTAGTATAGACCCTGTTGTGTGGTTACTAGTGTTAACTCTGATGAAGATTTATCACGAAAAGGAGCAAACTGAGCTAGTAAAGACACAAAATGAGGAGGAAAAGAACACCAGGAAGTAAAATAGAGATAAATTCTGTGTTCAAGGAGATAAACAGATTAAGAAATGGAATAAAGGGAGTGGTGACCTCGGGGCAAGACCTCACCCAGCTAAGCTCCCATTTGTGAAAAGGAACTAGAGAATAGTTTAGGTCCAGGCGTGGTGGTGCACACCTTTAATCTCAGTACTCAGAAGGCCAGAGGCTGACAGATCTCTGAGTTTGAGGTCAGCCTGGTCTACAGGTCCAGTTTCAGGACAGCCAACCTTAGGCAGTGAAGGAAAACCATTGAAAACAGAAAGCTGGAGAAGATGTAATGGAACAAGGGAACCATATTCCAGCCCCAACAAGCCGCACAACTTGGCAGCTTCAGCAGTGTGGTTCTGGCTTTAGAATCACGGATAGAAGAAAGGGGTTATAGAGTCTCCTTCCATGAGGCTAGGCATCTTCCAGAAGCGGCCCTCATGGAGGCCCCGAGAGGCCATTGTGAAGCTGTGAGGGTAAAGCCTGGGTTGCCTTGGAGACCCCAAGATGTTGGAGATGCCAGAGCTGTGGGACACCTGCTGAGGAAAGCGGCTAACAGGGAGTGGAAACAGCCTAAAAGAAAGAAGTGTGCTGCAGTCAACAAAGCTGAAAGGAGTTGGCGATCTGACGTCATTTTGACGTCATGTATGGAGACGCAGAGTTTGGAGCTGGTGTTTGGTCCTGCTTTGGTCCAGTATTTCCTTACTATGCTCCCTTTCCTTCATTTTGCAATGGTAATGTATATCCCGTGTCATTGTGTGTTAGAAGAATGTGATCTGCTTTTTGATTTTGATTTTACAGGGAATTACAGTTAAGAGATCTCATGAGTCTCAGAAGAGACTGAACTTTGGATCTTTAAACAGGATTAAGGCTGTGATAGACTATGGGGATTTTGAAGGCTGGACTAAATGTATTTTGGACTATGTTATGGCTACAAGCCTATTGGGGCCTGGGAGTGGAATGTGGTGATTTGAATAGGTCTAGCCCCCATAGACTCACGTGTTTGAATGTTTGACTCATAGGAAGTGGTACTATTTGGAGGTGTGGCATTGGAGGAAGTGTGTCATTGTCGGGGTGTGGGCTTTGAGGTCTCCTGTATTCAAACTATGCTCCCAGTTGCTTCTGCTGCCTGAAGATCAAGCCGCGGAAGTCTCAGTTCCTTCTCCAGTACCATGTCTGGTTTACACGCTGCCAGGAAGATAACGGACTAAACCTCTGAAAATGCAAGCCAGCTCCAATTAAATGTTTTCCTTGTCAGAGTTGTCCTGGTCATGGTGTCTCTTCATAGCAATAGAAACCCTAACTAAGACTTAGAGTTAACAGGGTTTGGGAGAGAGGAGGTGGGGGCGGTAGCCTGAGAAGGACCTGGACGACAGCTGACGCGGGCAGTGTGTACCACGGTGGGCTGCACACAGGGAATCACAATCACGCCCATCATTTCACCATCCTGGAGACAATGTAGCTGAGTCCTCCACCCCTGCAGCCGTTCTTGTCAGCATGCCTCGACCCTCGGAGCGCCCTGTGTGGCAGGAGCCTGAGGAAAGGAGGCGAGAAAATGGTTGATCTCTGTTACTGACAGGCTCTGGCTCCTTAGGACGAACCTTGTCTTCACAGGCTTAGGTTTCTACTTGTGTCCAGGGTGTTCTATGTTTGAGTATCTTGTGGCGGCAGCTCACTCCTCGGACCCCACAACTCCTTCAGGCATGTTCAACGTTTTGACTTGAAATACAATGCTGTCATTCACAAAGTTCACGCTGAGAACAGGAAAACTGAGTTTAAAAAAAAACAAAAACTTGAAAAAGTCTCATGTTTTAAGTAAGTTTACAGTTTTGTGTTTGGCTGCATTCATAGTTATTGTCCACAGGTTGGACAGGCCTTCGAGAAGACAGCGCTTACCACACGCCCTCTGCTGGAACACCACTGACTCCTGGACCACTCCTCAGGCTGCTTCCTCTGGTGCCAGGAAGAAGGTCAAAGCCAGGGTGGCCTCAGGCCTGTGAGAGCAGGAGCCGCCTCCAGCACAACATTTCGTTGCTCTGAGCACACACTCCCGTTTCATTCTTTTTTGTTTTGGTTCTCATTTTTATCAATTCTTTGAGAATTTCACAGGCTACACCCTGATCACACACAGAACCCCTCTCAACGCCAGGCGCTCTACCACCTCCTCCCCATCCACCCAAGGCCGAGCCTTCCTCCTCTTCCCTTTTCCTTTCCCCACAGGAACCAGGGAATGCCAAGTGTGGTTGCTCCAGCAGAGACCACCACTCTCTGCCTCCCAGTGGCCAGGGGCCAACAGCTGTCCAGCCAATGGCCAAACCCTCTTCCCTCCATGCAGGGACCCCCGCCCAGCTGAACCAGTGAAGGCCCTGTTAGTTCTGTCACAACTGCCACCAGCTCATATGTGCAACAGCCCAGTCCTGCCCAGAAAATCTTGTGCCCCTCCCCCATGTCATCTGCCACCTTCAGAGCTCACAATCCGCCTGCCCATCCCCGTACGAAGATCCCTGAGCCCCCGCGGAAGGAAGGACGGGACAAACACAATTCACCCAGGGCAGGGCCCTCCACAGACTCTCATCCTCGGCAGTGGTGAGACTAGCCCAGTATCCACTACAAGAGAAACCCCTTACGAGGCTGAGAGACACACCCATCTACGGTGTCTCACAGCAACAAGTTACAAGGAATTGCCTTGGCACCATATCTACACAGGAGAACAACACTGGACATTTCATTCTTTTAAAAATATTTTTATTAGTCCTTTGGGAATTTCATGCAAGGTATTTTGAAAATATTCACCCTCCCTTCCCCAGCTCTTCCCATAACCACCATCTCCACCTTCCATTCCTTTCCACACAGCTTCGAGATTTTTTTCCCCTTTTGTATTTTCCCTTCTTTTTCCTGGTGGAGCTGAGTTTGTGCTGCCCCAGCTAGTCCTGGAAGAGAGGCCTGCCCTATGACCGTTTAATTCTTGACTCCAGAAGAGATCGGGCCCTTTTAAGCCAGCACTGACATATCTCAGAGTTTCTTACTCCTCCTTGCTACTACAGGGGCAAAGAAAGATTGGGTCATGGCAATGAAAGAGAAGATCAGTGGATTGGGGAAGAATACCCAAAAGCTAGATCCATCCACGTGGGCACTGGGAGCATTGGGGAAATCTTGGTCAATCTGTCACTCCCCTGGCTTTGTCTCCTTATCTGCAAAGTGGGTGTGGCAACTCTTCTATGTGTTCCTGTGACAGAGACATGCCAGGTCACTACAAGGCCACCAGGGGGCACGAGAAGCTTCTGTGGATGTGGCAGAGAGTCATTCCCTGGGCCTTGTGTTATTTTTTTTTTAAAGAATGGATACCAGCTAGGTTGCTCTACATTCAAGGCCTCTCTTGTCTCTAGTCTCTTTAAGATGCTTCTAACATCTCCCTAGAGGTCCCTGGCCAGTCACAGTTCCAAACGACTGTTCCTCCTCTATGTCACTTTCTGGTACGAGACCAGGAGATGATCTAACAGCTGCTTACAATCCAAAGGTGACAAAACTGAAGCGCACTGCCTAAGTTCACCCTGGGAATACAAACTGTGAAGTACAGCTGGACAGAGCTGAGGAACAGAGATGGCAGGAGACAAAGAGAGCAGAACCCTCTCTGGGAAGGGAGCCCATGGCCGTGCTAGCAGAGGTGCATGGGTGAACACAATGGGGCATGAGGGACACGCACAGCCCGTACAGGAAAGTCCCCAAATGCAGGGATTCAGGCAGCTCATTGAGAGCCCTTGCCATTGCACAGGTCACTCACAAGAACCCCAGCTGTCACACTCTGGGTACCTGTGGGGGCTCCGAGTCTTTGCAGGAGCAGCGATGGAGGCAGATCTGACTTTCCCCCCTCAGTCACATCAAAACTAGAAGTCTTCTCCTAGACTGTCATTTTTCAGACAATGATGGCTTTCCAAGTTGGGGACCAGGCCAGGTGAGGTAGATGCCAATCAGTTAGTCACACCTGTAGGGGCACTCATTCACCTGGCCCCCATGGAAAGCAGGTCTGGGCTGAATGTGGGCTATGAAGGGGATGTGGGAGGCAAGAGCTGGAGCCGGTTCTGGTTCTGGGAGGAGCTACAATTGTCCCTGGTATACAGAGGAGGGAAGAGAGACAATCAGCTGGTGAGCAAGGCTGTGCACCACACAGCTGGAGACACAGATCAGGGACCATCACAGGCTTCGCTGCTGGAGCCTGCCCCTGTTTTCACTTAAGCTGTGGTTGATGAGGCTCGTGCTAGTAGGACCTGCAGCCCCTGGGTTCTAGTCCCAGCTGCTCTGTTATTTGTGACTGTGGGCAGGTTACTTGTTCATGCCTGCGTCCTCATTTGTGAAGTGGGAATATGGGACCTGTCTCCTTAAATGAACCGAATGGCTAGGATGCTGGCTATTCAGTAGGTTCAGATACTCCTGGTGAGCCTAGGCGATCAGGTGTCCTTGAGAAGGTGTCTTTAGGTGTCCAAACTGTCAAGCTGTGGGTTTTGGGCGCTGCCATGGCCCCACCCCTGCTTCCCAGAGCTGGGAGGTGCAAAGCCTGTCTGGGCTCAGCTCCACGGTAGGCAAATGAGATGATGTCAAAGCCAGGGCTGGCCCAGCCCCTGTGACCTCCCCCAGCCCTCCCCTGCCTCTGTCCCATGCTCAGATTCACAAACTCCACACAGCTGGGCCCAGAGGGAAGGAGAGTGGCAGGTGGAAAGGTAGATGGCTGGGCTCTTGGGCCCACTGACGCTTGTCACCTCCTGCCCTGCAGAACTTCTGGGCCCAGGGCCGGGAGCTGGACCTGTGGGGACCATTCCTTGATTTGGGCTTTATGCCTCAGTCTATACAAGCAGCGTATCATCTGACCCTGAGCCTGCTAGACATTCGCTTAGGATTGTGGGCAGCCCTCAGCCAGGGAGCTGGTCAGCTATCAGGGCTGGTTAGCCACCATGACTGAGGAGAAGACCTTCCGAATCGGCTTCATCATTCTGGGCCTTTTCCTGCTGTCCCTCGGCACGTTCCTTATGAGCCACGATCGACCCCAGGTCTACGGTACCTTCTACGCTATGGGGAGCATCATGGTGATTGGGGGCGTCATCTGGAGCATGTGCCAATGCTATCCTAAGGTAGGGGGCTGGGGCAGGGGCATGTGCCAATGCCATCCTAAGGTAGGGGGCTGGGGCAGGGGCATGTGCCAATGCCATCCTAAGGTAGGGGGCTGGGGCAGGGGCATGTGCCAATGCCATCCTAAGGTAGGGGGCTGGGGCAGGGGCATGTGCCAATGCCATCCTAAGGTAGGGGGCTGGGGCAGGGGCATGTGCCAATGCCATCCTAAGGTAGGGGGCTGGGGCAGGGGCATGTGCCAATGCCATCCTAAGGTAGGGGGCTGGGGCAGGGGCATGTGCCAACACCATCCTAAGGTAGGGGGCTGGGGCAGGGGCATGTGCCAATGCCATCCTAAGGTAGGGGGCTGGGGCAGGGGCATGTGCCAATGCCATCCTAAGGTAGGGGGCTGGGGCAGGGGCATGTGCCAACACTATCCTAAGGGGACAGGAAGACCTGTGACCCTCCTTGTCTCAGGGTACCAACCCCTTGACTGCAGCTGCTATGGTTTTCCCATTCAGACTCCCTATATTCTCTCTATTGGGGGGGGTAATACTTTTGTTTATCCATCCATCCATCTCTTGTTGTGGCTGATCAAAATGCCCCCACGTCTGGGTCTTGAGCCCGCCAGAACAGGGACACAATGGGATCTATGCACGGTCTGTGTGTTCGATCAGAAGCTGGCTAGCATTTACTCTCTCCCAAGCTTGAACCCACAGCTCACCCCGACCCTATCCCAAGTGCTCTGTGTTTTCTGCAGGACTCTGAAGCACAGATCTCAGGTTGGCGCTTGTGCCCTGGGTGTTCCATCCTGGGTGCCCCACCCAGGGTGCTCCCTTCTGTGCCCCCAGCTGCTGAGGGCTCTGTTGGGCTGGGTCTTTCCGAGTCACGGTGTTTTCATCTTTAAAGTGGCTCCCTGGTCTGGGCTCTGCCTAGCCCTGTGGTAGCCCAGGGGTGATGTGTGGAAGATGGGCAGGGTATGTTTGCAGCTGGCATGCTGTGTTTAGGCAAGCTGCTGCTGTTGCTCTTCTTGATCCCCACACAGCTCTGAGGGGTCGACAGCTCGTCAGGTGTTGTAAACCTTCAATGCCCAGAGAGGTAAGGTGACTCTGCTAATGTCACACAGCTAGTTAGTTACAGACGCGGAGATATGAGAGTAACAGGAGCCTAGCCTGTGTTCTGTCTCTGAGTCCCTGGGAGACTGAGCCATTTTGTTCTCTAAACCTCAGTTTCCTTAACTATACAACGTGGGTCAGGACACAGAGTGGGAGAAGGGGACAGATATCTGAGTCTTGACTCTAACAGCCCTATCGCCCCAGCTTCCTCTACCCCTCCCCACTTTGGTGGCAAGTACCCAGAAGGACTTCTAAGAATTGGGTCCAGGTCCCAGCCTCTCCCAGCCCTCCCCCCTCTCTGTGGCCAGCCCAGGTCTGTCACTTATATCTGGAGCCTGGGCAGTCCGAACTGGTTTGGGGCCATTTTACAAAGCAGTTTACAGTCAACTCTCCTCTCTGCGCTCAATGTCCTGAGCAGAGGTCACTGGGAGAAGAGGGCCTTGAGGCCAGAGCCACTGCGGTCACCACCCAGGGAAGGTGGGGATGTTGGGAAGAAAGCATCCTTCCTAGGGGCGGCTGGTGGGGGGAATGGGGCTGAGCATTAATGAGTAACTGTGAAAGGCTCACATGCTCCTGTGTGGGGAGGTGGTATGGCTGGTGGAAACCCACACCTCCTAGTGTCCCTCAAACCCCAATTCAAGTCCCTGTGCCCTGTGCCAAGTCTGTGACCTTGGCAGAGCCTCCCCCCCACCCACTCTGTGCCTCCAATAGCCAAGTGGAAGGGAGCAAAGGGTGCTGTAGGGACGGGAGGGGTCCTGGGTGCCTGGGTGACGTGGGTGCAGAGGCCTTGCTCTGGAGAGAATGTTGCCGGTACTGGGAGGGCGGCAGGGGAAGCAGGGAGGACAGGGCTGTGAGAGCTGTCACAAGTGGAACAGGAAGGAGAAGGGCTCCTGCTCTACACCATGGCTGTTCTGTTAGGTTTTGCATAAAAACCTGGTTAGATTTTGGTGATCACCTGAGTCTCAGGCATGGGTCAAGAGGGAGAATCAAGCCAGGGCAAGTGTGGGGGCTACTGATGATACTGGGCCTGGAGGTCGAGATCGAATGGGGGGGAATGAGGATGAGGGGTGGAGTGGCAGGGAAAGCAGATCCTTGGCTCTGCTGGGGCTCAAAATCAGGACCCAGTTGTAGGCTAGAATCTTTTCCAGTAAGCCACCACCTCGTGGTACTACACAGATTATTAGAAATGGGTTAATCAAGATGTGAGAATTAGCCAATAAGAGGCTGAAACTAATAGGCCAGGCAGTGTTTAAATGAATACAGTTTTCGTGTAATTATTTTGGGGCATAAACTAGCCAGGCGGCCAGGAGCCAGGCGGCGGGAAGTGGCCCACAGCTCCTTCAACACCTAGTAGTTGAAGAACCTGTCCCCTTTGAGGGCTTCCCTCTTTGTCTCTCTTCCCTCTGGGGACTGGTCGGTGTGCAGCCTGAACTCAAATCTGATGCTATTCTCCTGCTAAAAACCCCCCTGGAATGCCCATGGCTGTGGATAAAGGTTGGAATTCTTAGTCTGATGTTCTGAGGGTTTCCAGGTCTGATCCTGCCCCGGAACATCAATTATGCATATCTTTCCTCTTTCTTTAGAAAGAGAATCTGTGTTCTAGGATGCTGCTTCCTGTCTGTCTCCTCCTTGCTTCTCATGTCAGCGGTGGTAGTCATGATTGTGGTGGTCGTGATGGCAGTGATGATGGTGAGAGTGATGGTGATGATGGTGATGGTTATGACAGTGGTTATGGTGGTGGTGGTGACAGTGGTGATGATTGTGGTGGTGACGATGATGTCTATGATGATAGCAATGGTGGTGATGTAATGATGGCCATGGGAATGGTAGCGATGATGGTGATGATGTTGATGATGGTGACAGAGTAGATGATGATGCTGGGTCATGAGATAGGAAAAAGAGATAAATCTTAGAAAGTATGGAACCATGTGGCCAAAGGCATCCTTAGTGCAAATGTAAGATGCTTAGACACCTGCGGAGGTGCCTCTTCGGAAAGGTAAGAATCCTCTACCTAGCACCCCCTTCTTTCCAGCATCATGAAGCTTTGCTGGTGCAGGCAGAGCCTCCCTCACTGTACCGGTGCTGTTTATGACTCTGGAGCAGCTCAGAAGGGGGCCATCAGATGCTACATGAAAGATGTTCAGACATGTGTGTGATGTGTGTGTCCAGATGTGTGACCAGTGGCTTGGCCTTCATTGGGCCAGGCTGTGATTTATTGAGAAGCCTTGTGTCTAGGAACCATACTGAGAGAGCCCTCTGTATTAAACACATAAGTGTAGGATACAGTGCTTTAACCTCCAGTAAACATGCAGTTCTGAAGCATTAGGTCCATTCTCAACGTGGTCAGCCCATCTCCAGGACCAAACTGGGAAATGAAAGATTTACACTCACTATGCAACGGCTCCCCATTACCACTCTCTTTAGTCTTGGGGATCCACCAGCCTCCTTTTACTTCCACAACTTGGTATACCATGGAAGTGGGGTCTTTCAGTGTTTGCCTCCGCCCCAGTCCAGTCTGGCGTATCTCACTCAGCACCGTGTCTTCAGTGTTCATCTTTGATGTAACATGCATCAGAACTTCCTCCTGAAGACTGGCAGGCATGCTGTGTGTATGCTCCCCATGTTCTTCTCTCTATCACCCATCATTGGACCATGGGTCACCTCTTGGGTGTGGGACACAGTGCTTCTCTGCGCATGGAGAAGCAGGTGTCTCTTGGAGGCTTCTCTCGGTAACCAGAAGAGTTCAAAGAGACTCTGGAAGGAAGAATGGCTCCCAGGATCCCCAGAAAGGGCCTGGTAGTGAGAAGATGCCCTCACGTCTCCAGGGCCCCAACAGCAGGGCTCTTTCCACCTCACCTGACTCATCCCTTCTAGGCGTTCCTTCCCAGCTCCAATGGCCACCCCTGAAGCTAGGCTGCTTGATATCAAAAGTTCAGGGATGAACTTTGTGGGCACACCCACAGCCTCTGTGTCGTTGCTCGCTCCACGGCTGTGTCCTGTGAAGCACAAGTCAGTGCCTGGTTTACCATCCACTCACCAGGTGCAGACCGAGCACCCTCTGTGGATACCTCTGGGAAATGGGTCTGGGCTCCAGGGCGGGGCATCTCTCTCACTCACCGCTGCCCCCAGTGTCCAGGTAGTGTCTGCACAGGGCAGGTTCTTGGGAGATTGTACGGTAAAGGGAGAAAGTGGTTTGGACAGGAACCTAGATATCTGTCTACCTGCTGGGGTTGAGCCATGAACAGAAACTTGCTCATCAAACAGGGGCCCTACTGCATCCTTCTCCTCCTACTATCTGCAGAGAAGCCTGCAGAGGCTCCGGGCCCAGTGGTCAGAGCGTGTGGCGGCAGTCAGCTCTATACCCGGTCAATTGCAGAGACCGTTTTCTCTCTCCTTGCAGATCACCTTCGTGCCGGCAGACTCTGACCTTCTGTCCCCAAAGGCCCTGAGCCTGATGGAGAACAGGCTTTTGGAGGTGAAAAGGTAAGACCAGGGGGAATGGGTCCTCAGTCCAGCCTCCTGACAAAAGAGGGGAAGAGGGGAGGAAGGGAAGAGGTAAGGAGGGAGAGAATCAGGATAGCTGCGTTGGATGTTGGTGTCTCTGTCTTATCCCAGCCAGCGTCCTCTTTGCCTCCCATTTTCTGAGAACACACTCTTAGAAATCACAGGTAGTTTCAAACTCTCAGGTTGGTGTGCTAACATCATCATTCCTGTCTTATAGATGTGGACTCTGAGGCTTGGAGAAACACAAACCTCAGACCTCAAGGGGAGTCAGTGCTAGGACAGGTCTGAATCTGGGCCTGAGTTGGCTGTAGAGGTGTCAAGCCCTGCTTCTGGCTTGGGATGGAACCAAGAACTTTTTGGCTTTCGCTAATTCCTGAGCTGCGACTCCCAAACTCTGAAGGCTGGGCTTATGAGGGTCACAGCCCTCTGCTTTGCTTGGGGTAGTTTGTAATGCTGACATTTTCCATTCCAGAAGTGCCCCAGTGAGAAGCACTGGGCACACCCTGGTGAGCGGGGCCACCCCAAACATGTCCTTCCTTTGTCTGGTCACTTCCTGTGACCTTGGACAAAGTCCTAGTCTCTGAAGCCCACAGGCAGAGAAGAGCAATACAGCCCTGACCCACCAAGCTGGGTCTGTGTTACTCTGTGTACTAGCCAATTTTAGTTGCTGTGCCTCAGTTTCCTCACAGCACCTCCTGGAATTACAGGGAGTGCAGAGGCGATCACTTCCCAGCCTTGCAGGAGCCCACAGGCAGCTGTTACACCGCTGCTGAGCAGCAGAGCTGTGACTGGTGCATTGGGGTGTGCTTCAGAGAGCAGAGTCTTGGTGCTGGGCCTTCGCCATCTTACCATTACAGGCTGTGGATACCTTTTGAGACACTGTGATGTTGACTTGGGATTAGGCCTCAGCCTCTCCGTCTGTGGCCTGGGTACAGTGACACCCAGAAATTTTTCTTTTAAAATCAGTGGGGCCATGCTCCCATAGCAGACAGGGTGCCAATGGTGAAGGAACTCACGTCTACCCCACCCCGACTTCTCTCCCTCTGTCTGTTGGACCCAGCCCCCAACCCCCCTATGTCAGGCTGTGGGAAGAAGCCGCCTATGACCAGAGCCTTCCAGACTTCACACACGTCCAGATGAAGGTCCTGGGCTACAGTGAGGACCCTAGGCCCCTGCTGGCCACTGAGCTGAAGACGGGAGTTGGACATGGTGGGGAAGGCGAGCCTCGTACTGCTCAGGCCTGGATGGAGGCAGCAGTGGTCGTCCACAGGGGCTTGGATGAGAATGAGGGGGAAAGATCTCGTGCCCAGAGCAGGTGAGAGGGCAGCACAGGAGTGGGAACGCTGCCCAGTTCTAGGGCGGGGAGGGGGGGCTGTGCGCCAAGAGGGTGGCAGGGACACCTGGGAGTCAGAAGCAGGCAGTGGAGGGCAAGAGTGGCACGGGTAAGTGAGGTTGGCCTGGGGCTCTAACGGACCTAGGTGCTGATCTTAACTCCCTGGCTATATAGTCATGTTGGTTTTGACTCTCCTGAGCAGTTTCTTTCAGGGGAACGGTCATTTCCGTGACACAGGGACAATGTTTAAGTGCCCAGCACACAGTTCTTCTTTTTCCAAAGGCTTGTTATGAGCAGCAGGAGGCCAGGAGGCAGAGGGCTTGGGTTTAAATCCTGCCTGGGCCATTGACGTGCTCAGCATCTCAGGCAAGGCTTAGTCCCCAGCATAGCCCAGTTCCTGTTTGTTTTTGAGTCAGGTTTCTGATTGCTCCACTCAGCCACAAGCTCCATCACTACTGGACACCAACTCTCTCTAAGGCCTTGACTGGCCTCCAGTCTCCTGAGTTCCGCTGTGGTGGGGGGAGGTGGGGCAGAAAATGATACTGAGGTACCTACAGTGTGACGTGGACTGTGAGGGGACAGAGAAAGGTCCCAAATGCCTGCAATAGTGCATGAGCCACTTGGCTTGTAGTTTTGTGTGTGCGTGCATGTGTGTGTGCGCACGTGCGTGTGTGCATGCGTGCATGTGCATGTGTGTGTGTGTTTTAGAGTTTTTTCTTTTCTTTCTAAATAACAGCTCTGTTGCTTGGGTACCTACCCTGTGCCAGGCACTGTATGGAGAGCTGTGAACATTCTCCCTGCACCGCATGGGAGGAAATTCACATTGCCCTGATTTCCAAGGAGGTGGGGAGGTCCAGAGATATATGAACTTACTGCCGCCAGTGGCTGAGGTCTGGACCCACACAGTGTGACTCAGGGCCTTCCCTTCATGCATTCTCTTTGCCTCTGCAGCCCTCCAACGTGTTCCCAAGGCTCTGCACCCTTGGCCTCATTCCAAGATGAGCTGGACATGGGTTCCAGCGAAGGCAGCAGCCCTCACCCATCCCCATCCAACAGAGATGAGCCACACCTACAGGTGTTCTGGGCCAGCAGGGGTCCACTGGATCACTTTAGTGACTTTGCTCTCATTGATGACACCCCCACATCAGAGGACATGGTCCTGGAGGGGCAGGTGCGGGAGGCCGCTCTGTCCAGCAAGCAGCGGCAGTCCCTGAGGATGAAGGAGAAGGAGAGTGTCCATGCAAGTGCAGAGGAACCTGAGCAGGAGGAGGAAGACCTCTACTATGGGTTACCAGACAGCCCTGGGGACCCCCTCCCCGACAAAGAGCTGGACTTCGAGCCCGATGCCCAGGGCTGAGATGAACGGCTTCCTGGGTCTAGCCTGGTGGCACGGCTCTCTTCATGTGACCCCACCAAGCTTCAGTTTTCCACCTCCCAAAATGGGACTGTATGGAGGGTCAAGTGAGGCAATGAGCTGAAGAATCTTGGGAACTGAAAAGAACACACATGGGGGCTACAATCACACACCCCCCACACACACACAGTGAGCAGATGCTTCCAGGTGTAGCTTGTTGTGCTGATCTGGAGGAAAAGTGGGCTTTTCTGAGGTCCCGGGTTACAGACAGACCCTCGGAAGCCCTTTCCATGTCCTAATGCTGGCCTTTGATTGGGCCCTTCTGTGGTGCTACCCAGGGCCCCTGCTCCTTCTTGGAGGCTGATCAGGGCCCTGTGTCTATTGAGGTTTGTTCCTTTGATGTGATGGGTAGTTTGACTCACCCCACTAGGAGCTGATGAGGTCTCCTGGCTCAGTTTCATTAGCAGGTCCCCTGCTCTGGGTTCTGTGATGCTCTGTGATTGACCTCTGCTGACCTAACCTGACCTCTAGACCTAACCTGGTCCTGCCTGTTCCTGCAGCTGCCACTATCCCATGTCCATGCTATCTTCTTCCATTGTGCTGGGGAAATTCACTCATTCCTATCTCCTGGCCTAAGTGTCCTTCTTCCAGCTTTCCTGACGTTCCGACTCCAAGATGAGAATGTTCTCTCTGGGGCTTGGGTATCAGTTTCTGTGGCCCGTTGTTTGCCATGGCCCTGGGACAACTTCTTGGCCTCATTGACCATAGTTCCCAGGGGATGCTGAGCAGGTGCAGATCTCAGCAGGTCTGGGAAGCTTTGCAGATAATGTCACCCTCCCCAGTTTTGACAAGTATGGCCTCTTAGTCTCTGGCCCTCACTTTTCTAAAGGCTTCTGTACAGTCACGAAAACCAGGCACAAAGTTGCCTGAAGAATCCAGCAGCAGCTTGCAGAACACACTTGCACTGACTTACAGGGGGCAAAATTCAGCTGCTGGATTAATTCCACTTGATGCCTTTGGCATTTCCTGAGCATCTGTTATATGCCAGGCACTCACCTTGGAAAGAGACATTGGTCCCAAAGGGTTCACAATCTTGTGAGCTTGCTGACTTGTAAGTCAGAGCACAGAGCAGAAGCTGGGGTAGGAGCTGAGTCACCCCGGGAGAGCTGGCAAAGCCCTTTGCTCTTAGCCCAGGATAGAGGAAACGACAGGGAGGCAGGTGCTGCTGCCTCCTCCAGCCAACTCCACACACTTAGAGCTGTTGTGAGGCATCTAGGAGCAGGGGTCGGATGAAGGTTGGAGATCCCAGCCAAGGGAAAGAGATACCGCTGGTACTGAGTGAGGACACACTGCGCCCCTCCTGCCTTCCGGGGCATTGCTACCTCTTCAGTGAAAATGCCTCCTCCAGGCACCTCCTCTCTGTTGATGCGTCACAGACAAGGTGTCCCCGCTCATGTCGCAGCCATGGTGAGGTGAAATGGAACAGGCTGCTGTGTACTGCTGGCCCAGGCAGGAATGTCTGTGACCCACATCAGACAGAGCCGAGCCAGCACCAAGAGCTGAAATAAAAACCTTTTCAACATTAAAAGGTCACCTTTATTTGCCTGCAAATTCTTTTCTGTGAAACTGCCCATTCCCTCCGGGCAGAATAAAATGAGACTTCATGCCTGGCTGGCGCCGAGGGGCCTCTCTGAGAAGGGAGCAGACACAGCAGCGTGGCCATGTGAGACAGCTGAGTCAGGGAGCGGCCCCTATGCCCAGAATCATGGCTGCAGAGATTTCAAGAGCCTCTAGCTGCCAGCCATGGGACAATGGAAAGTTAGCTCTGTCCTTTCTACAGATGGGGGATCTGCAGGGAGTTCCCCCACCTGTGTGGGACACCACAGGTGTGCAGTGAGAAGTTTCTGGGCTGCCTGGGATGAGCCCACTTACATGAACATTTCTGCTGAGTACAGCCATTCACTCAAAGCCAGCTCGCTGCATGGGTGGGGAGCGACCTGTGGCACCAATCTTGGCAAGAAAGGATACTCTAAGGGATTGGGGCTTCTGTCAGGTGGCAGTCAAGGGGCAAAGTTTTGCTCCAGATCAGGCAGTATCAAGAACAGGCTGATTCCTATGATCCTGCTGCCCTGGAAGGGGAAGAACCTGGACAAAGCCACACTGGTGAGAAAGCGGCAGTGGTCCTCCAGAGGTGGCTGGAGGGGATGGAGGGGCGTGGAGTGTCTGCTCGCCTTGTGGCTAGGTCACCATTCACTAAGCAGTTGTTGGGTTAATTCCACTTGATGCTGTTGGTGTTTCCTGAGTATCTCCTGTTAGGCTGCTTTTGCTACCCCCTGTCTCAGCCCTCCATTCTCCATGCTGGCCTCTGGACTGGGAGGTGTGGGTGACTGGTAGGTGGGGGTGACTGGGAGGTGTGGGTGACTGGTAGGTGGGGGTGACTGGGAGGTGTGGGTGACTGGGAGGTGGGGTGACTAATAGGTGGGGGTGGCTGGTAGGTGGGGGTGACTGGTAGGTGGGGGTGGCTGGTAGGTGGGGTGACTAATAGGTGGGGGTGACTGGTAGGCAGGGGTGACTGGGAGTTGGGGTGATTGGGAGGTAGGGGTGACAGTAGGAGGGAGGGTACTGCTGAGTATGATCATGAGGAAGGACATGAATTTGGGCAGCAGGGGTAGTGGCCCACTTCCTCCACTATGGCCTTCCCTAGCTCTCTGGCTGTTCCTGCAGCTGCCACATTGGACCTACCCTTCTGTTGCCTACTGACTCAATGTTGGGTGATATTGGTACCTCTGGATGTCCCCCTAGATGGCTGATGGGATCAGAGGGGATCAAGGTATTCACGGTGGCCTAGAGTAGCCAGAAGGTGGTAGAGGAGCCCGGTGGACATCATACCCCGGATTTCAGCCTCCAGCCCCAGGTACTGGTTTGTGTGCCAGGGCAGAAAAGCCTGGCATTTGTTTTCCCTGTCTGACTCTGGGAGTTTCCACTCTAGGGAGAAAGTCTCTGCAGAGGCGTGGCAAGGGCAGGCAGTTGTTCTGGGCACCCTGCTACCCTTCCTACGCATCTGTCCCTCCTCTCCACGTGAAGGTCAAAGGAGACAAGATTACATCCCCGGTCCCGTTTTCCGGCACATTCACACCCTTTATCCCATCTTGTCCTCAGAAAAGCCTGGGAACGGGCAATCTGTTGACCATACATGGTAAATGTCCTCTGTCTCAGACTCTGAGCTACAGACATGGGGTCACATTCATCCTCTGCCAGGTCCTCGCTATTCAGACTTGAACAAGTCACTGTCTGCTCCAATCCTCTGAGTCTACGTTCCTGTAGTGAAGATAATCCCAATGGTTGGAGTCATGGGTAAGACGGACAGATGGGTACAGTGCCCCCTGGCACGTAGCAGGTATTCAGATAGTGCCAGGCCTCCTTCCCTCTCTGCACCTGTTTCCTGGTTAGTGAAGTGGGGATCAGCTGTGTCTCGTTCTTCAAGCCGACCAAGTGATGCACGCGGCAGGGAGAGTGCAGAAACCCCCACGGGGGTGAAGCTTCTGTCTCTAGCAGCGAGTGTCATGGAGCTAAGCATGGCATCTCCTGAGTGCCTCCCAGGAGTCAGTAAGAGAGGGATGGAGGGCGGGAGTGCTGGGCCTCACAGGGTGGTGCATGGCCGCCCAGCTCTACAGCACTGCTCAGAGGCCATGTGTGTACATCCTACCAGCGCTGAGATGTTGGTGTTGCAGGGCCCACGCTGGGACCCCAGCGCAGGTGCTCTTGTCCAGAACAGTTGTAGGACTTGATAGTACACCTGTCCTGCTTGGCCGCCTGTTTTCATCTCACTTCCAAAGCCTGCAAGGCTGCGCTGTCCCCATGCTACAGGAAACTGAGGCTCAGGGAGGCTGACTCTCTTGTCTGTTTTTTCAGAGTGGAGGCGAGGAAAGCTAGTCGTGAGATCTCAACTCCTGGCTGGAGGTATCCATCGCCCCGGCTATCCAGGCCCTAGTACACACAGAAGAAAGACAGACCAGCCAGTGAGGCCGCATGGAGCACCCACCTGCTCCTACTTACTGCTGTGATGAGGGAGACTCACCCTTGCTTTCACGCCTCCCATGACCCCTCCCCCCATTGTATTCCGCTGAAGGTCAGAGTCCTCAGCCTGGCCTCACAGTCCTTCATCATCCCGCCTCTACTGCCCTGTGCAGTTGAATCATCCTCTAGGTCACACATGTCCAGTACTACAGACCTACCTTCGCGCTGTCCTGGACTTGGGTATGTCTGCTCCTGGGTGTCCATCTCTTCCAGCCCTCAATGCTTGGCTCAGATTTTCTACCTGCTCCCTGGACTGTGAACCATCCTGCCCCCCCCACCAGGGCAGAACCCCGCCCCCTTGCATGCTGTCCTTGAGACCCTTTCTGGCCTGTGTGGCTCTGTTTCTGCACTTCCCTTGGACAGTTGGGTGATTGCCCATCTCTGCTCCTGAAATGGGAAGGTCTTCAGTGGTCTTTTCCTCTCACTCTTCCACCTCACCCAGAAAAGCAAGAACAGCAGTTATGTGGGACAGAGCAGAGCTGGAGGGAGCCAGGTGCACTCTGCAGATTACTAACACAGGTCCAGTGACTCCCGCTTGGGACAGAGAGCCAGCTTTAGAGTATCATTCCTGAGCGTGAGGCTCGGCTTCCATCTGGCCTGTGACTCTGGCTGAGACGTTTCATCTTTCTGGGCTTCATTGTCCTCATCTAAAAAGTAGAGGCAGTAACACAGACATCAGAGGTGCTCCGTAATGATGAGCTGAGCTGCCGTGTACAGAGTGGGCGGTGGCGTGAACACAGTGCCAGGGAGTTCTCCCTAAGCCCATGCTCGCCGTTATTCTTGTCGTCTGCAGAAGTGAGCACTAGGAGTCATTGTAGGCCCAGGGTGGCCGCTCAAACTCTGTCACCAGTATTTCCAGACTCAGGGGATGAACCTGGTGAGTTAGAACCCCACCCTCAATCTTCCTCAAGCTAGAGACCCCGGAGGAATGGATGCTTCATGTTTTGTTTTCAATTGGATTATCAAGGACCTCAAACTGGGACCTAGACAGGAAAAAAGAGACAGGGGATCTCAGACAGGAGGCAGGACAGAGGCTAGCTCTGGGAATGGAAGGAGGGGCATCCCTCAAACTAGAGGAAACTGGAACTGAAGGAAACTGGAACTGGAGGAAACTGGTATGCCTGGAATGATGGAAGTCAAGGTCGGAGAGGCAGGCTTCAACAGTCTTGGGCTCCTTGAATTCCTGCAGGGAGCCCGATTTGGACTTAACAGCCAGGGCGACTTGATGATACTCGTAAGCAGAGGAAAGGAATGCTGAGGGACCATATTGTTAACAGGCATAAAAGGGACCCAAGACACGCTGGTGGCCTGAGGATGCCACTGGCTGCCCATAAAGAATTATTGTCCTGGTGACCCTCACTGGATGGCAGGTCAGGCCTGAAGGCCATGGAGCCATGGTCCCAGATCATCACTGCTTACCACAGGCCCAGCCAACCCACACAACCAAGCCCAGTGCTTCTCCCCCAAGACACCAGAGCCCTGGTGAAGCCAGAGTACAACTCAGGGATGACCCAGAGTCAACTCTGAGTCCCAGGTAGACCCTAAGGTAGAAGACAGCTCTACTGCCCTGTAGAAGATGGAGGTTCTTAAGCTGTCTGTGCATCGTCTGCACTTTGACCTGGAAAGAGCAGAGCAAGTGAGGTCAGAGGTTAAATGGCAATGGCACACTTCAGACATCTGCCCACAAGCCTAGCAGGTGGGAATGGACAGATTTCATTCATTCATTCATTCATTCATTCATTCATTCAATCATCTATAAAGACCTCTAAACCTCTGCGAGGTGCCTCCTCTGCACCAGGTTCTGAGGACAGAGATGTGACTGGCCCTTCCCTGTCAGGGGATCTGACTCTCCTGGGACAACTGCAGAATGAGCTCATGGCTCTCTGAGAGCTGAGGGACAAGCCTCGGGAGGCACAGAGGACAGAACTTACCTGAGAGTGAGCAAGAAGATGATTAAAGGGAGTGAGCAAAGAGAGTGAGCAAGGTCTGTGCGGCACACACCTGTTCTGTGGACGGTGTTCCCCGGCGGGAACTCGACGGAATCCTGTTTGTACAAAGGCCAGAGGAGAGTCATCTTTCACATCCCAGACTGGCCCTGAAGCAAATGGAAACTCAACCAACCAGGCAGGGAGGGTGTCAGGAGAGGATGGAAGGACTGGGGAGACAGGACTGGATTCGGGAGTTTTGGGTGTTCCAGCAGAAGCCAGAGGATTAGTTTGACAAGGACACAGAGGTTCTGAACAATGCAAGAACTAATAATCCACAATTGGTGATTAGACCACACTATTCTAGCACAGAAAGTGGGTGTTGGTGAGGTATTCGTGAAGAACCTGATGTGTCTTAAAAAATTAAAAAACATGTCTCCAAGTGGCATGGTTTTTAACATGTAAGAAATATCACTCTACATCCATAGATGCTGAATTGCATT